ACCCTAGAATCTTAGGTTAATCAAGAATACATGTAGAATTATTGTAAAATCATAATCAACCCACATCCAATCAATTGGATCAACTTGCAACAACATTCATAATGTAAAGAAGAATCATAGCTAGGATTGGGGAAAACTCATGGATTCTTTGGAATTCGAGTTAAAATCATTTAAAATCAGTAGTATCATCAATAACAAACATAATTCAACCTTTAAGAACAACTTTGAAAGGAATCCATGGGGTTGAGTTGAAACCCTAGCTTTATTGGAGATTCTAGAATTGAATTAAAAGCTTTTGAAAGGGATCCTTGGGTGATAGCTTCCCAAGGATGAAAACTCCCATACCCTAGGTGTTGAATCCATCCAAATTCGTATTGAAAAGCTCCCATCTTGAAGCTCTAACTTGGTTTCTTCTGGGTTCTTCAATGGAGGTTCTAGAGAGAAGATTCTTGGAGGAGAAAGTAGTTGGGTTTGATTTGGGGTCTTGGGTTATAATGAATTAATGACTTAGTTTAGGGTCTTATTAGCTTATATAGGTGATTAATTAACTAACTAACCGACCTACCTTAACCCTTAATTAATTACCTAATTAATTCCCAAACACCAAACTAAAACTAAAAATCTTAAAAACCGGCAGCACCATGGTTGGCCATTTGTGGTTCACCAAAATTTTCCAAATTTAAGGACTGTTTTGGGGTCCTCCTCAAGGACCCCTTGGGTGGTCCTTGGGGAGTCGTATCCGGACGTTTAACCCCTAAAACCCCTATTTTAAGTACGGGAACCATTTTTACAAGTTTTAACCCTCATATGACACTCCAAAACTCTTACCAAAGGCTCTAGAACTCACTAGTTCAACTCACTAAATTGCGGGGTGTTACAAATTTGTTTTTGATGCGCAAGACAAAAAAATGACTTTATTTATCAATGCTACTTATGTGATTTAGATTGTGAGGAAGTTTGTTTCAAAATAGTTATTACTACATAAACATTGCCCTTTTGTTTTACTAATTTACTATTTCTTAGTATTTCAATATTTTTGACGAAGGAAATTCCATATGACTTGTAATAACCCCGTTGAAGTTTGTATTAGTTTAATTTTTATTGTAGTCTAAATTCATTTGTTTTTGTTAACAAATTCTCTTGTGATGTAGATATATGTTCTGAATATCTTTTTCCAAAATTATTAAACTTTTCAAGAGTTAGAGAATTGTCACGATTTGTTTTTTTGATGCTCAAGACAAAAGATGACTTTATTTATCAATGCTACTTATGTAATTTAGATTGTCAAGAGTTTGCTTCAAATTAGTTATTACTATGTAAACATTGCCTTACTAATTTACTATTTCTTAATATTTCAGTATTTTCGACAAAGAAAAGTTCATATGACTTCTACTAACGTCAGTTGAAGTTTGTATTAGTTTAATTTTATTATTTATTTAATAGCTAATTTTTATGAGATAAATATTTTCTTTAATGCAAAACATGCTTGGTTGAATAAATTGAAAATTGTTTACAAGTATATGTGTTATATCTGTGTTGAGTGTAAGATAAACAAGTGATTATATATATAATTTCAAACATCTAATATATTCTTTAATTTTAATTTTTAGTTTTTTTTGGTAAAAAAAAGGAGGAAACCTTTCTCAATTAACTATGGACAGTCATATATCTTTGATTTATGTACTCTGTCAATCGAGAAGTCAATTATAAGAGCCAACAAAAAGAACGTCATATATTATATTATAACTTATAAAATAAAAAATTAATATAAAAAAATAGTTCTAAAAAAATAAAATGTAGTTGTTCTCCACATGTTCATATGACATCTAAACAGATTAAGTGGAATACACGTGCAAAGCACATCTGGTTAGATGACAAGAAAAGCACACAATAAATATCGTTTATAAGGTAATATTACTGAGATACGACTAATTACATGATTGAACCTCATCAAATTGAAATAAATATATACATTATTGCATTTAACTAATAAAATTTTTCATTGACCATCTTCATAGGTTCGTGTGAATAAGAGATATATATGACGATCCACATTGAACATTCACAAAAGAATTTGCAATAATATTTTGTGCAAAACTTATTATTCAAATCTTTGCTTAAATTTTCTGAATTGATATTCACGTGCAACGCACGTGACGAAAAACTAGTATATATATATATATATATATATATATATATATATATATATATTAATTAATTAATTAATCTTCTACCTATACGTTAGGAAACACAGAAGTGTCATGTATCCACATCATCAAGAAAATTAAATTTGAGTTTTTAAAAATTAATCTTTAAATATAAATTTGTATTTATTAAATAAAAAAAATGTCATCAACAAAAATGTTTTTCGAATCATCATTTTTTTTAAAAAGAATAGATTGAAAACATTAGAATTCTGTATCTTACAAAATAAGGTCACATGTCATCATCAAAATAAATTTCAAATTTTCAGTATTTTTTTTAAAGAAAATTATCTCCAAAAAAATTATAATTTTAATTTGATAAAAAATTATGTAAAAATCACTCACATAAAACAAAACCTAATAGTTATATATTATTAATAATTTGCAGACTTTCTAAAAAAAATTAATTTATTAATTAAAAAATACTAAGAATTACAAATCAACTATGCACGTAGTCTACTACTCTCATTTTTATCCCACTTCATGTAAACTTACTTATTAATTAATTTATAGATTTCTTAAACCTTTTAAACTTATCAATACAATAATACTTTTAACTAACCTTTTTTGTTATACAGAGATGAGATGATTTGTAACTATTTTTGTTAATCTCAACAACATTCCTTTTTAATAATAGATGATTTGTAACTATTCGTATTAATCTCAACAACATTCTTTTTTAGTGATAAGATGATTTGCAACTATTCTTATTAATCTTAACATCAGATGATTTTTTTAAAACGAATTATATTGATGATTAATTTTGAAATTAAAATATATTGATCTCAATTTGTGGTGTAGTTATTATTTCTCTAGCAACCTAACATATTGAGAAGATTTTCGTAAAATGGATGATCACTTGCAAAGTTTTATTTTCTTATTTTTATCAACTTTTCTTATCTTTTCTAAATTTTCCTTTATCTTATAAAATATATCCACATGTATTTAAATCTAAAATAATAATTGATAGTATTTATTCAAATTTTGAATTAGAATTGATTTAAAATGAACTGTCATATATATTTTCACGTTATACTCATAATAGCATGTTGGTGGTGCTTAAAACTTATAAACTTTATTTAATTGTTATTAAAAATAATATATTAATTATTTATATAAAATTAGTTTAGAAGTTTTTAATACTAAATTCTAAAATTATTTGTCATAATTAAGTTATAGGTATATACTACATATAGAAAGGCTAAACAAATCTAAAAATCCATAATAAAATAAAAGAAGAGGCTTTATAGTAAATCAAAGGAGTGGAAGATGATCCATTCTTTTGCATCTTTCATTTTTTTTTCTTTGCCTTGAAAATAATTTATTTTTATGTGGTATAATATTAATTTGATAAAAAAAATTAAGTGGTATATATTAATTTGATTATAGTATCTTTTATTTAATTGATCACTCAAATTCAGTATTTTGTACATTCTTATTTTATGAAATTGTATTAGATTAAATGAAAATCATCTTATTTTGCAGGATTTAACGAGAGATGAGTGTGCTAAAGAGGTCAACATGCTTTATAGATTATATTTAAATTTTAGCTAAAATTAGAGAGAAAAATTTTAATACTAGATTTTAGATTGATCTATGAATTTATAATTTAATTAATTAGCACAAATATCAATTGAACACACGCCACATACGCTATTAATCTTCATTATACTAGCAGAAGGAGAAGTTGTTAGAATAACGTTTAGTGTCTTTGAAGAACATACACTCATTACACATAAATTAGGGTAAACTTTTATTAGCATTAATTATATATATAAAACTAAACATTATATATGACTATACATGCACTTTTGTTACTCATCAATAATTTAAGAGCAACTTTCACATACGGCATAAATAAAAATCATATTTGTATGTTATAATTATAGTTGGCATAATTGCATTCCATAGCAAATTTTATGTTTGCTATGAGGTCAGCTGCACAAGCAGACAGTCGGCAGAAAATGCTGAGCAAAGCTGCTGGCCTGAAGAGTGCGGCTAATCCGTAACATCAACTGCAGAAGAATGAGGTTCGAGTTGATGAACAGGAGAAGGCCGCAATACATCTCCATCATCATTCTCCCCCGGGGCTGATTAATTAGGTTAAGGAAAATATGAGGCGACCCTATTAAAGAGAGCATTAAGGATACATCGACTCTCTTGGATTTCACGTCATAGCATATATATACCCGGATTGAGCATAGATGGATCTTTTGATTTGTCTAATTCGCTAGATACATCCAATTTTATACAAATTGTTCGGTTTTGTATAAATTCATTTGTACATTGTAATTTGTATAATAAGATCTGTATTTGTATAATTATAAGTGTATAAGACGAAAATATATGTATTTGTATTTATATATACACTTTTCTCTCGCTTTATACAAACACAAACGCATTTCATACATTTGTATACCGAATGGGTAATTGTATACCGAAAATGATTAATTGTAAAACGAACCAGATGACAAAAAAAATGGGATGTTTGCTGCGAATTTCAATTAAAATAAACTATGACTATAACATTTAATTTGAATTAATAATTTGATATTTCGTACAATTTTTCCATAATAATTTGTATTAATTATTTCTAAAATTTAAAAATTATTATATTTTAAAATATTGCACGGATACGTATACTAGTTTCATAAATAAAATGGGGCTGAAAAGCCAAACGCCTACATGTGTACACTCGCTACCTTTATGAGATCGGCTGAAATAAAAAATAAGAAAGGTCTGGGAACAAATGACGTCGTTTCGAAGACGTATTTGAGTTTTGAGCACCCAACAATTGATCGTTTTCCTTTTGGGAGCAGAGTTGAGAAAGAAGAAAACCTTCATAAATGTCGACAGTGTACGTTTTGGAACCGCCGACGAAGGGGAAAGTCGTACTTAACACGACGTATGGGCCAATAGATATAGAACTATGGCCAAAAGAAGCACCAAAAGCTGTAAGGAATTTTGTTCAATTGTGTCTCGAAGGTTACTATGATAATACCATTTTTCATCGTGTTATCAAATCTTTCCTTGCTCAAGGTGGTGACCCTACCGGCACCGGCACTGGTAACAAACATAACCTTTTTTAGTCTATTTCAGTTATCAATTGGATTTGATGTTGTTTAAAGCTGATTTACTTTGAATTTCCTAATTTTTCTGTGTAGTTGGACTTTGAAAATGGTGAATATTTGATTTAATTTACGATCTGAGGGCTAACTGGAGTTTAGTTAAATAATTAGACTTCTCAAATAGTTAACATTTGATGATAATTAGTAATTACTAGAAGGGCTATTTGGAGGTTAGGCTTCTTAGGAACTTGAAACTTTATTCATGCATTTCATTTATTTAGTGCGTGAACTGGAATTGTAAATGATCTTTTGGTTTTTGAAGTATAATGGGTGATAATACTTGCATAAAATTCCGCATAAGCAAGATAGGGGCCGTTTGGTTCAGAGTCTAGGAATTAATAATGTAGCGATTAGTTAAACGAGAATAAGTGACATGGTATTGTAATTTATGTATTGGTGATACTACAAGGTGGTTTTGTTTGCATTAATGTGGGTGGTGAGGAGAGAGAGAAATATGAGAGCCTTTGAAGGTAGAGTCGAGTTTCTCGCAGTTGAGGTGTAGTCTCTGTTCCCTTATTTTTCTGGAAACTAGTCTTCATTCCCTTATTTTCTTTTTTCATGTAATCAGAAAATTCCTTGTTGTATAGAGTATTGGATGGACTTTGTAGATTACCTTTTGGTATATACTTGTATACAAACCAGTAGGGGAGGGATCTAAGGTTGCCTTTTGGGAGGAATTAACAGCATGTGTGGAGAGGTAGGAGATTCCTTGAATGTTGGGGGATTTTAGTATTGTAAGGTTTTCGGAGGAAAGGTTGGGTTGTTGGGTGATATCCATGGCTGTTTAGGAGTTTCCAGAGTTTATTGATAATCATTTTCTTATTGGTATACCTTTGTTAGGTTCCAATTTCACTTGGTCAGGTCGTAGGTTCAATTTCCAAATCTCGGTTGGACAAATTCCTTGTGTCTACTTCTTGTGAGGACCCAAATGTGATCTAATCCCCTTTTTTGCGTTGGGCTTTGATCATTTTCCTATCTTACCTTGGTTTACCTCTAGGCGCGGTGAACAAGGATCTTGGTGTTTGGAATCCGGTTATTCAGAGGGTAGAGAAGAGGTATGGCAAAAAAGATATTTTTCCAAAGGAGGCGAGGAAGTGCTTAGTATAAGCCATTTATAGAGTATTCCTACATATTGCATGTCCTTGTTCATCGCTCCTACCTCCTACTATTGTTATAGGGAAGCTAGAAAAGGTTGCAAAGGAATTTTCTTTGGGATGTGGCGGATGGAGCAAAGAAGTTTTACTTAGTTCGATAGGAGATCGTGACTTCTCGTAAACGGCATGGAAGGCTTTGGATTAAGGAATTGAAGGTATTTAACAAAGCACTTTTGGGTAAATGGTTGTGGAGATTTGGGGTTGAGGGAGATGCTTTATGGAGAAAGGTGATAGTGGATAAATACGGAAGGGGATGGAGATCAAATAGGATCACCATGCCTTTCGGGTGTGGTGTGTGGAGGAATATTATGAAGGGGGAAGCCTTTTATGACAACATTGGTTTTAAGGTTGGGGTTGGGAGTTAGAGGGTGTTTGGATTGGCTTAAAAGTTGGTCAAACCTACTTTTAAGTCAATTTTTTACTTCTGGTAGTGTTTGACAAATATAAAAAATAACTTAAAATAAGTTACGAAGTGTTTGGCAAGGTAAAAAATGACTTAAAATAAGTCGGAAACCAAAAGTAGGTCTCCCCCTACTGTTTATTTTTTGACTTAAAAGTCATTTCAGTTTGACTTTTTATTTTTGACTTAAAAATTACTTTTTTTAAGTCAATCCAAACGGGCTCTTAGTTTTTGGGGGGCATAAGTGGTGTGGAAGTTTGGATGAATTTTCGATTTTGTATAAGGTATCTTGCCAAAGGGATAAGTTTGATCAACAATTTAGGGGGTCACAATAGGATGAGTATTTTGGGGCAGTGCAAGCAGTCGGCAAATTTGATGCTTTGAGTGTGAGTGGGGGAATAACAAAGTGTTCTCGTTAAGTCCTTTTATGAGAAACTCCTGGTTAGGGCGGAGGAGAGGTTTCCATATGGTTTGGTTTGGTTACCTACGGTATCGAGGAAGGTGAGTTTCTTCACATGGTTAGCTACTAGAAGGGTGATTTTGATGGTGAAGACTCTTAGAAAACAAATGGTTGTCGGCTTGAGCTAGTGTTTCCTTTGCAAATAGGAGATATACTCAGATGGTTTGGCATTTCTTGGGTAATGCCAAGATCTATGGAGTTGATGTTCAGCTAGAAGTGTAGAGCTAGAAGAAGGCAGTACATTACTCCTCTTGAGTTAATGTGGGTCGTTTGGAAAGAGAGGGAACTTTTGAAGGGGTGTAGATGAGCTTTGCTCAATTGAGAAGTAGTCTTCGATCCTTTCTTTTGGTGCAACCACGTAGTTCCTGTTTATATAATCCGGTGTCTTTCAAAGAGAACCATATTTTGTAGGTTTATCCTTTTTTGTATAAGGCCATGTTGACCTTGTTATTATCGATGGATACTTTTACCTATAAATTGTCTTTTACTTGTATAGGGCCAGTTTGACTATGTTTATGAATGAAAATACTCTTAGTTGATAAAAAGAAGACCATTAAACCATCTCAGATATGCGTAAAATCGCAAAGTTATGTCTTTCAGGCTAAAAAATCTCTTCTCCCCATCTAATATCGGTAAATAAAGTTATACTTATTTCTAATTTTTATGTCCCAACAACAACAATAACAACAACATACCTAGTGAAATCCCACAAGTGAGGTCTTGGTAGGGTAGAATATACGTAGACCTTACCACTACCTCGTGGAGGTAGAGCAGTGTCATGAAAAGCGACAAAAAGCACGAAGCGAAGCGAGGCGAGGCGCAAGCACTGCACTTTTATGCTCTGAAGCGAGGCGCTGCTAAAAATGCGAGCGCTTCAGTAGGCGAAGCGAGAAGCACGCTTAAAGCAAAGGCGACAAAAAGTGGGCTAAAGTGTTGTTAGGTTTTTTTTAAAACTTTTGTATAACACACTTGTCTGTTGCGACTCAAACATTTCCCTCTTCTTCTTCTGTGACACAAGCATCTCAACATTGTTGCTGCGACTCAAACGATAAGTTCCTCCTCTCTTTTCTTCCTCTTCTGGACTCTCTTTCAGTGACTACTTCTAGGGTTTTCTTTCCCCTGTTATGCTCTGTTGTATTTTACTTATTTGGTTTTGCTTTTTGCATTTGCTTAATATGTTATGATTATGAGGTACTTTTTAATTTAAGTATTGAAAATTTTGCGTAGTATGTTATTTCTATTGAGTTCTTGGTTATTTATATATGCATATTTAATATTTTTTTATTTTTGTACTAAATAACGCTTTAGTAGAAAAAAGTGTGTTCTTTGCTTCATTCTTCGGTGAAGCAAGCCCTCGTCGCTTTTTTCCGCTTCTTGCTCTCCAAAACACTGAGGTAGAGAGGTTGTTTTTGAAAGACCCTCGGCTCAGATGCAGCTATTCCAAATATAAAGAAGAAAATATAGCGCATCACAAGAAAATAATGTAAAGTCTACCAGAAGGGAGCAACAACAACAACAATAAAATAGTGCAATAATTGAAACACAATAAACAACCCACTAGGATAGATTATTCAAAATAATAATGAATGCCGATGGGGTCCAAACAGGAACTACACAAATACAATTAGAACACTGCCAAACACCAAACACCAAACACCCTAAGCAAGACCATCTACACTACCTACTAACCTTCTACCCTAATCGAAACACCAAAATGTGGGTGCATATTTTGGTCGGGGTTTCCATTTTTTTCTGGATGGGAAGGATATCATTGATATTAATATTATTTCTACTACATTTTATTCATTTGTAAAAAGTGGGAAAATCAGTACAAAAAAAGTAGACCACTACCTATAAACTGTTAGGGGTCGTTTGGTAGGAAAAAAAATAACGCAAATAACGCAGGAATTAATAACGCAGGGATTAGTAATGCAGGGATAAGTAGTGCTGGGATTAGTAATGCAGGGTATATTTTTTATCAAGTGTTTGGTTCATTGCTTTTGACCTCATCTTGTGTTTGGATTAAAACTCTACAAAAAGCTTCTTTCCAATTATACCCTTGCATTATTATGAGATTTTCTATTTTATGTAATCGATCAAGGTAGATAATTGCCGGGACTATTATTTTTCTATGTCCTTCTAACTAGCTAGGAGAAACAATTTTGTTGTCATGTTTGCGATTTTCTCACTTGAGTTATTTGAGGGTAAACAATTATTATCTTAATAAATTAATCACTTAAAAAATGTTAATTTTCAATTTAGAATAGATAGACCATCTACTTTAAAACCTAAAAGACGGTAAACAATAGTAAAATCGAATTTATCATCTACATTTACACATAAAAATTACAAGTTGTAGTTTTAATATGTATGCAATTTATAAATTGTTCAAAATACAAATAATTAGAAACCACATATAAATCAACAAATAATATATTAAATTAAGATCACAAATGTCATGTGGTGATATACTTGTCTTTTCAATTAGTAAATGTTAAAGAACTCACATTTTAAATATTGTATTGATATGTATTGCATTTATTTATTAACAAACAACTCTCTCTAAATAATAAAATTTGTAAGTTAATTTATTTCAATAAATTATCTAGTACAAATATAAAATATAAAATCAAGAAAATAAATAAAATGATTTGAGGGATATTTTTGTCTTTACATAGATAATCCCATGGTATTAAATCCAATGTATTACTAATACCACCAAATGTAAGGTATTAGTAATACATCCTACAATACCATGTAGGGTGTATAACTAATTCATGGATTAGTTATACTTAGGCCCAAAAATTCTACCAAACATAGTACTAATAATACCATACATAATACATGGACTATTTCTCCTAATACCTCCTACCAAACGACTCCTTATAGTCGCCGCTCTCCACAAGTTCATTTGTTTGCTGATGATATTCTTTTGTTTCCAGAAGATAGATGAAAAAACAGAGAAATGTTTTGGATTCAGGAAAAGTATTTCTAGATTCTTCCAAATACTTTTGGGTTGTGCTTCTCTTTAGTAGTTGATACTTTGAGGCTTGTCCAAACCCTTGTTTTGTCTTTCCTACACTCCAACTCAAGCTACTGGCATCCTGACATAAAATTCTCTTTTCTGTATCCAAGGGTGTGGTCTAGCGGGCAATAAAGTGGGTAAAAACCTTGAAGGTCAGAGTATAAATCCCAGCAATACTATGTGATTTCTGTTCATCTGCTTAAGCCTTTGTTATTAGAGTTACTCAGTACATGTACTATGTACTAGTAGAAGATAGTAGGTACCTGGTGAAATAGTCGAGTGCCCGCAAAGTGGTCCAGATACAACCGTTATAAAAAAAAATATAAACTTTTCTTAATCCTCTTTCAACCAATGTACTGCTTGATCTTAATCATATATAGAAATACACAAAGTTATCAATTTCAAAAAAAAGAAGAGAAAGGATTAAGCTCCAAGAATGGACACTTGGCCCATCTAAAGAGAAAAGATTAAACTCCAAGAATGGACACTGTCCTCATTTATCTAATGGCATTATTTCTGTTCTGTTCCTTGCGGTAATTGTCTAGATCTTTGATAAAATCTTCTGTCAGTGTGGAATGAAATGAAGAATGTGTTCTTCACTGAAAGCTCTCACTTATTGAGCTTATCATTAGTTTGGTTTCTTATATCTTCTTTTAGCATGCATCAGTAAAGGTGATTTCCATGAACTCATGCAGGTGGTGAAAGTATATATGGTGGTGTATTTCCTGATGAATTTCACTCCCGTTTAAGATTCAAACATAGGGGTTTGGTGGCATGTGCCGGTGCAGGCACACCAAATTCAAATGCAAGTCAATTCTTTATGACTTTGGATCGTTGTGACTTTCTCGACAAGAAGCATACAATCTTTGGAAAAGTAACCAACTCGTCTCCTTACAACAAGCATACTACATCTTATCAAAACTTTAACTTATTTCAGTAAATTTAAAGCTTCATTCCCTTATTTGCAGGTAACTGGGGATTCAATATATAATCTTATTACATTGGGTGAAGTTGAAACCGGCAAGGATGATCGGCCTGTTGATCCTCCACCTAAGATACTATCTGTAGAGGTACCTCGATTTCTGTTTGTGCTCTCTTTCACCGCCTGATGCTGAGGTTGTGTCTACTCTTAAATTACATATCTCATGCTTGCCTCGAGGCACATCAATTTATTGCTCATCTGTGGTATAACCAAAGTAGTAGTTAGATAGACTCTATGTTATTTTGGCCTCATTAGTTTGCATTTAATGGGGGTTTGCATCTAATGATTCAGACCTAAGCCCATTAAGTGCATTTTGTTTTACTTAATAAATATCTCTTAATAGGTCCAAATACATCTGACCGAATTAGATCTGTGAAAGAGTCTTAATACCATTCAGATTTTAAAAGTACGCTTTTATTTCTCTCTCAAACTCACACTCTATTTTTTTTTTTTCTTTCTCAAGGCAGCTTTTTTCTTCCTTTCTCTTGCAACTATCAATCAATCAGTCTAATATTTTTCTCTTGAACCAATAAATTATCAAATCCCGCTTGGGTATTCTCCATCTTTATTATGTATTTTTTTTTTGAAACAGGTAACTTTGTATATTACTACAACAGTACATAGGCAGTACTGAGCCATATTTACAATAAGATCATCAAATCCAGCTATCTGATCCTAAATTGAGTCTAGTACATTAATTAGGGAGATAGTGTCATTGGAGCATATTGTTTTCTATACTATCAAAACATCTAGAATTCCTCTCCTTCTATATTACCCACCAAATGCTAGGAGGGACAATGCTCTTAGACTGCATTCCAGCTTCTTCCCAACTCCGAATGGCTTCAGTGATCTTGCTTGGCATGAACCATGACGTGCCCTTGAGCACCTTGAGCACAATGGAATCCCTCTCTTCATTAGGTTGTCTTGGGTCAGAACTGCTTCCTTGGCCAATAACCACACAAAACATGATGCTTTGAGGGGCATTTTGGATTTCCAGATTCCTTTCCAAGGCCAGTTACTTGTCAACTGGTAGGAGTTGTTCAACCAGTTATAAGCACAATTCACCTTGACAATACATGTTTTGTTGCCCTTCCACCATAAAGTACCCTGACCACCCTCCAATCCATTGAGTGGACCAATGGTGTCGTTAAAATCAGCAACTCTCTGAATCTCCCAATAATTTAAGTGTCTTCTAAAATGAAGTTCCACCCTTGAGGAGACCAGTGATCAACTATGGACTTGTGCTGGTGTGACACTAAGGTACTAATATCTAGAAACAAATTTTCTAGCCTGCCAGCCTCATGCCATACATCCATCCATCCAGAAGTCAGTTCTTTCCCCATTTGCCACTTTGATCCTTGTATTTTTTTAATTTTGAAATCATCCCACAAGGAGCTAATGGACCTCCATACTCTTACTCCATAGTGTAGTAACAGTTTTGGTCATCTAGTAATCTTCCCCTTCATACTATGCACTAATGACTTCCTTCCAGTAGGATTGATTTTCATTGCAAAACCTCCACAACCATTTCATTCTGAGAGCCTTGCTCTGATTTTTCAAGTTCTTAATACCCAATCCCCCTCGTCTCTTACCCACTGTTACAACATCCCATTTGACCAGGCTATAACTCTTTCTCATTACTTCCCTGCCACAAAAAACTTTCTTCTGATTTGTCCAATCTGTCAATGACTATCTGTGGAATTGGAAACACTGACATCATATAAGTTGGGAGGGCATCAAGGACGGAATTTATCAAAGTATCCCACCTCTGCACAGATATTGCAATATCCACCTTGCTAACTTCATCTCACACTTTTCTACCACCTTGTTCCAGATCTCATAAGATTGAGAACTAGCTCCCAGAGGCATCCCTAAATATGTTGTTGGCAAAACACCTATTTCCCCACCCAATATTGCATTTAGATACTCCATGTTTTGCACTTCATTGATAGGGTACAAATAGCTTTTCCTCCCGTAGATGTGCAGACCTGAGAACCCCTCAAAAAACACCAAAATCACCCTTAAAATCTTGAGTTGGCCTTCTTCAGCATCACATAGAAAAAGAGATGCAGATGAGTCACTTCCATACTGCTATCTCCATTTCTACCAACCTCAAAACCACTCAACCATCCCCTCAACTTTGCAGTTTTAATCATGCTATTCAGACCCTCAATAACAATTAAAAATAGAAAAGGAGATAGGAGGTCTCTTTGTCTGAGCCCCTCTGTGCACTGAAGAATCCGACAGGGGATCCATTAATGAGGTTTGAAAACCTCACTGTGGAGATGCATTGTTTGATCCACTGGATCCACTTCCTTCCAAAACCCATCCTCTCCAGAGTATTCAACAAGTATTCCCAATTTACATGATCATATGCCTTCTCCATGTCAAGCTTACACAAGATTCCTGGCTCCTTTTGTTTCTGTCTAGAGTCCACAGTCTCATTAGCAATTAATACCGCATCCATGATTTGTCTACCTTTGATGAAAGCCATTTGCTGAGAATCCACTAGTTTTGCCACGACCCCTTTCATTCTCTCTGTGAGAACTTTGGCGAACAATTTTGTAGATGCTTTCAATCAAGCTAATAGGCCTGAAGTCTTTCAATTCTTTGGCACCTTTCTTCTTAGGAATCAAGGTTATGAAGGTGGCATTCAAACTCTTTTCAAAAATTTCCTGATCATAGAAGTTTTGATTATCTTTCATGATATCACCCTTCACCTCCCAACATTTAAGGAAGAATCTCATAGTGAAGCCATCGGGGCTTTACCGATTGCATAGATCTTCAAACAGTTTAGAACTTCACTTTCCTCAAATTTCTTAGTAAATGCATTTTTTCCTCCTCATCAAGTGTGGGACAACTGTTGCTCCTGAAAGCAGGTCTCCAACTGTCTGTTTCAGTGTACAGCTTCTGTAATACTTTACAATTTCCCCTTCTCCTCTTGAAGGATCCTGAAACAGTTCCCCTTCTATTACCAATTGATCAATGTTATTGTATCTTTTGTGAGCATTGACCATTTTGTGGAAGAACTTAGTTTCCTTTTCCCTTCTTTGAGCCATAGTGATCTGGATTTTTGCCTCCATGAGATTTCCTCATTTTTAGTAACTCCTCATATTCTAGTAAAGTTGAATTCTTGCTTGAGATCTCCCATTCTGATAATCCTCTGCCCTTCATGATCTCATCAAACTTAGATAGTTTTTTAAGAAGAACTCTCATTTTAGATCCTAAATTCCCTTGTTCACTCATGCTCCAATCCTTAAGTTTGGTTTTTAGAGCCTTAAGTTTTGAAGCAAGAATAAAGTCAGGTCTCCCGGAGAAGTTAAAAGAATGCCACCAGCTACTGATTCTATCAGTGAACCCTTATGTGCCAAGCCACCAGTTTTCAAACTTAAAGTGGTTCTTCTTTTTGTTCCATACACCCCCTTGTAATGCTACAGGACTGTGGTCTGATATGAGTCTCTATAGAGCATTTTGCCTTGTGTTATTGAAGTTGTCATCCCACTCTTCAGATATCAAAATTCTATCAATTCTAGAGGCTGCCTCGAGATTATCCCCTTTGAACCACGTGTAATTGTTGTCTTCTAGCTGTAGGTTAACAATTTCAGGTCTTCAATAACATCTGAAAATTCCTTCATGCCTCTGGTTCTTCTCACACAATTTCTTGTCTCTGATATGAAGCTTACTACATTGAAATCACCACATACAACCCAAGGTCCTTCTATTATTCCCCTTATAACCCCCATTTCCTCCCAAACCGACCTTTCTATATAACAATTAGGGGCATACACCCTTGTGTAGTTATACAATTGAGACTCAAATTTACAAGTCAAAGTGTACATACCAGTTTCCACAATGTCGCCTTTCCAGGCCCCATTGTCGCATAACTTTAAAATTCCCCCTCTGGTTCCACTAGCCTCCAAACTTGCATATTTGATCCATCTACCTCCCCGGATGTGTCCAACTTTTTCTTCCATATTCCCCTCTAATTTGTTTTCTTGCAAACAAATGATATCTGCATTCCACCCCTCCATCACACTATTAACCAATCTTCTTTTGTCCCTATCATTCAGTCCCCTTACATTCAATGTGACTAACTTGAAATTCATCTGACATATAATTAGATTTCTCCCCTTACTCCGATTCCCACTATTTTTTAACTTAACATCAAAATTCACCAGGCTTTTCAATTCTTGGGAGCCTCGAAGTCTTGTTTTCTTGCACATTGTTTCTGGTTCCATTCTTCTTGCTTGTCTGGCACTGTCCACTTGTAATAGTAGTTCAAGGGTTTCTTCTACATAACCCTGGAAATCAGCCCCTAGAACCTTCCCCAACTTGATTAAGTTTTGTAGTACCCATACTGATGTCTCCCTTTCTTTATTTCTGACCACTTCTTGTTGTCGAGTCTGTAGTGGTTCTGCCTCTTCTATCTCCCACTCCCCCACTTTAGTGATTGATCTTTGGTCTCCTATTTTTGAAGTTCTGATGTCCTCCACTTCTGTATCTGTCATGTTCATATCATTCTCTTCTATTTCAATCAAGTGGTGCAGTGATTCAATTATTGTTTCTCCCACGATGTTTTCCATCTCCCTGTCCTCATGAATAATCTGATCTGCCCTATGCATGTGCGTATTTTTTGTTTCTTGACAGTGTCGCGGTTCAAGAAAATCAAGAGATATATTAGAGTTTTCATCTTCAGGGTCTTTTCCTAAAATATCATTGAAAATCACTTGGCTTGAGTAATCAGGCCCAAGTTTTCTGGAAACTCTTTTCCTTGTATTGAGCTGCCGATGGAGGCCCAATATTTCCCCCTCATTTAAATGGGGCATGTGCCTCTCACATGCTTCCCTTCTTTCTTCATTGCCAGCTGTGAGCCAGGATTCACCCACATGTTCTCCAGCTGGGAAATCCCTTGAAATAAGAGATTGAGTACCCTTTTTGCAGACTTTGCAGCCTATGGACCTCTAGGTAAATGAGGGGATTGTACTTCTCTTGTTTTCTTCTCCAACTGCTCCAGGATCACCTTTCCCAACTTCGGCAGCACCTCAAATCTCACGTGATTCTCCGCCCTTATCGGGAAATGGTAAACGA